GACTGGTCAACGAAGTTCAATTTTGCTTGGACAGGGAGCTTCAGCCTATGTCCTTCTGATGAGTCCTAACAAGGACGAAACGCGTCAAGGATTGGCACGGGAAGTCTGGGTCCACTGCTCAGTGGGTCGATTCCCAAACAGGACCGTTGTGTTCCTGTATTCACGTTGGTCATTACCTGAAAAAATCTCTCTAACAATTTTCATTGCCAACGAAAGCTCAGACCAATCAGTGTAGTTTAACGCCGGTAGGGGTATTTGCCCTCGGAGTAGTTGTTCCTGACTGGTCAACGAAGTTCAATTTTGCTTGGACAGGGAGCTTCAGCCTATGTCCTTCTGATGAGTCCTAACAAGGACGAAACGCGTCAAGGATTGGCACGGGAAGTCTGGGTCCACTGCTCAGTGGGTCGATTCCCAAACAGGACCGTTGTGTTCCTGTATTCACGTTGGTCATTACCTGAAAAAATCTCTCTAACAATTTTCATTGCCAACGAAAGCTCAGACCAATCAGTGTAGTTCAACGCCGGTAGGGGTATTTGCCCTCGGAGTAGTTGTTTCTGACTGGTCAACGAAGTTCAGAATTAATATTATTAACAATTATTAAATTCTTGATCTAACTAATCCAACAATACTAATATAAGTTCCATATTTGTTGTCACATCAGATTGTAATTTACCGGAGTCGACTCCTCTTGGTTTTATTAGTTTCTAATAGAATCCGAAATGTAAAGTTTCCAGGAAGCTGAAATAAAGCCAAAATCACTTAAAATTCTAAAAAAAATAACATTAAAATCTTTCCTGCCTGCAAAAAAGTCCATGATGGTTTATTTGATCTGTGAATCGGAACCAGGAGTAAAAATTTAAAAAACAAATCAAGAGCTTGAAATTCAAGAACTTGGAATGAAATATAAATTTATGCTTAATATTTCCTTATTATTACTCATTTTATAACTTTCAATTTTTGTCTATTCCAGGCGCTATAGGCTCTCTGAAATAATTCTGAGGTTTTTAAATTGTTCTGAAGCCTTTCATGCTGCTGGAAAGTGTTTTCGAATATTCTAAATGGCTTACTGCAGTTTTAATAAAGTATTATAACTTGGCTTGGAGAACTCTGGAGCATTCTAGAAGTTTTCCAGTAATTTCTAAATTGTTCTGACAAATTTTTAAGTATTTTAGAGCCTTATATTGAAGCTAAGGTTTCCAGTTCTAAATTAAATCCTAATCGTTCTAAAATACCTCTGAAGTTCCTAAATTATTTCAAAAAGCTGCTGAAAATTCTGATTTGGATTTGAACTGTTTTGGATGCTTTATTAAAGGTTTGAAGTTCTACAGCAAATTAGAATCGCTCTTGAATGCCTTATGATTTAATGGGTTTGCCTAGGTATTCTGTGATATAAAGTAAATGCTTAAGCTTTCGCAAATAGTTTAGAGCGGAAAGATTGCCTAAATGAACTTCCAGATAAGGATGAGATTGATCAATCCGTCGACAAACTGCGTGGACCAGGAATAAGGTCAATCCCCAGGGAATCCAGAGGCCTGAAAGCCAGTAAGGCACCAGGTCGCGAGGCAGGTGAATGAGGAAAAGCCTAGAAAGGCTGTATAGACCTTAACTATCATTACTTTTTTCCTTCTGGGACTGGAACACTTCTACTAGAGTAAACATAATGAGTATGCTATCGGATCATTTCCTATTTCAGGCTTTTTTTTTGGAGGTACCTATTCCGAAGAAAATAATTCAAGAGCCGGGAATAGACAAACATTTAGACAGAAAAATTTGAGAATTGGAAAGCAGAAAATTGGGGGAAATTGAGCAGATAAGTAGACTTAAGTATCTTTTGAATTTCCAGTATTTGGAGACACCCCAGCTTACCACAATGACTAGTGTGTCGGCAAAAGGACGTCCAATTTTAGACCACTTTGGTCTCATACGACTTTTGTCCAAAATAGAACTTAGCGACGTCTTACTAACGCCCTTCCTTATTATGTCGCATTAGTTTCTCAATAATTTGTTAATAGTTGTTGTGTTTCAACTATTGACAATTTAGTGTTGTTATCTGTTATCGGTAGGGTAGGTACCTAATAACATATTTTGGTAATTTCATTTAAAGTATAAACCCTGAATCATTCTTCAATCTTGGATGTCTTTTCGGACGTTTTAAGTTGGCCTTTCTGCCGTCTTAAGAGTGCGCTTCTCGATGCTGAAAAAATAGACATTTCGCGTTCGCGACTATGTTGTTTTAATAAAAACAGTTGCATCTAGGGAATTTTAACAAAAACTGTTTTTAAGAATGTACTTTTGTGCTTGCTCGACCAGTAATTTTTTTTTGATTTTCCTCATTTTTTGAAAAAAAAAATTTCATAAAATGAAAAAAATCAAAAAAATTTCACTGGTCAAACAAGCACATAAACATATCCTTGAAAAAAGTTATCGGTTAAAATTTCCTAGATGCAACTGTTTTTATTAAAACAAGCATAGTCGCACTCGCGATTTTCAGCATCGAGAATCGCACTCTTAAGTTGGTTTTTTCGATGTCTTAAATCGATTGAGCGAGTCCAAATTAATCAGAAACCACTCTTACATCGGTTACATTTCAAAATTTCGATGGGAAAAAATATCCAAAAAGGAAATCTAATTTTTGGCTCTGGACATTTTTTGGAATCTTGACATGCTCATGAATAATTGCTTAAATCTTCCATGATATTTGAGAAAATTGCCTACAATTAAACATCATTAACAATAGTTCTGAATTCTCTATGAGCCGTGCAAAATTAGTTGCTGTCACTTGTGAAGTTTCTGAGATATTGAGCGTCAAAGGTGAAATTTAGTCGACATTTTGTCCAAAACTTCAAACTTGATTTTCTGAAAAACCATAAACGATAGAGATTTCAGTAAAATACCATTTTGAAGCACTAATTGAGAGCTACAACTAAAAGTAATTTTGTCCCGTTAACGCTTTTGTTTACCGAGATATTCAGGTTTGAAGATTTGCAATTAAAATTCAAAGGGGAAAAAGTACCAAAAACAGAACATTTTTATTTTTGGATTTTTCTCAATTCTGACGATAGAGCGAGTCCAAATTAGTCAGAAACAACTTAACATCAGTAAAATTTAAAAATTTCGATAAGAAAAAAAAATCCAAAATGTAATTTTTGGCTCTGAACATTTTTTGGAATTTTGATGACATGATTGACATGAATAATTGCTCATATCTTCGATGATATTTGAGAAAATTGACTACAATTATGCCTCATTAAAAAGAGTATTAAATTCTCTATAAGCCCTGCAAAATTGGTTTTTGTAACTTGTGAAGTTTCCAGGATATTGGAGCTTCAAAGTTAAAATTTGGTCGACATTTTGTTCATCAAACTCAATTTTCTCGAAAACCCTAGACGAAAGAGAGTTCAGTAAAGTAGAGTACTACTACTATTACTACTACTCAATGATAGTGAAAATTACTAGTTTACTGGTGCTTACCTACTTTTAAACACCGATATCTATCTCAAAAGCTAATCATACAATTTGCGAAAAAAAATTATTCGAAAACGACCCCAATTTTGTTAAAATCGATCCACAATTACTAATTTTAACCTTTTGGTAGCCGCCATTTTGCAAATTGTCGCAATCTTGGTCTTAGGTCTAAATAGGGTGTCATGCGGGTCAAATCGTTTATATATTGTTAAAAAATCATCTGTAGCAAATTTCATGCTTTTATCAGAATTTGCAAGATTATTCAACTAACAGCCCCGACTACTATGAGATTTGTTGCGTTCAGTTTAAATAAACGATAAATGAATTTTTATAGAGTCATAAGTTGTTTAATAAAAATAAAAGTTGTTATTTTTCGTAGATTAGCGAGTATTTTCAAACGGCGAATCGGGGTGCTCTTTTTTTTTTCATATTTTTGTGAAATATTTTAATATAATGATTAGAGTACGAATAAAAAAGTTAAATGAAATCCACTGTCTCGTCTCCAGCCATATTGAATTTTTTTTTGACAGTTGACAGACAGAGATTCAGTAGGGGTTGCCTGAGCCGCATTCTTTCGGACCGGATCAGTTGATCAAAACGCGTTATGTTCCAGTGATCACGTTCTTTCGCATTTTGGCAAATGACAGTTAACGAATCATGATCCGAGAAAGTCTGAACATATTGAACATTTTTTGTTTGTGATTAGTTTGTTCCGATCGCGAAAATCTAACCTCAACTTTCAAATTATTTCTTGTTTACTTTTTGCGCTTTCTGCAATAATATATAATATAAATTTTGTAAGCTCGTCCATTATTATAAGCACAGAAAAACAAACGTAGCAAATCAAAAAACTGCAAAATATAATAATAACCAACTCAAAAAATAGAGAATAGAGGAAAAGCACCAGCTGGCAGTGACACATCAGTGACAGCGTTTTTTCGGACTAATAAATGAAACATGTTCCATCTGAACGAACGGATCAGGATCTCGGAATCATGATTCAAATATTTTGCGAAAGAATGCGGCTCTGTTGTCTACTTCTTATTGAGGCATTTGGGCCCTACACTTCTTAGTAAACGCCTGTGGAATTACACCAAACGAAACAGGTAGAAGGAAAATTTGTGGGCTGCCGATGGCCGATGCTTGAAAGTTGATTGACACCGAGGGGCTGAGGATATCATTCCGTGTCGCTCAGGTAGAGGTCGCTATCATGTCTAAAAAGTTTATTAACGGAAAAAAAATACCAGGCAACAGTTGGGAATAAAATAGGAATAAGAGAAAGAGAAAGGCTTTTGGCTCAAACCAACATGGTTTTAATTTGCATTGACTTGACAGAATTAATGACATACCCTAGTATAAAAAAAAAGAGGGATGTATTTTGACAGAAGGGATATTTTTTCTATTCGAGCATCAATAAGCTGTTCGATTGGTTGGGCCTAACCCCCCACAATCATGCGCGTTACATTCTAGGCTTATTACAGAGAAAACAAATAGGCTTCTAGTCAGATAATGCTCAAAAATTCCCAGAATTAACTGTAGATTTGGCTGTTCTAAAATTTGAAAAAATCTCGTTAACAATCTGGTGTTTCAGAAACGAGTTCGTGTTCAAATTGTTGTCTGTCGCGGGTTATTTTCTAGTGGAGGACACTCACAAACAAAGGAGCCACTGATGCGATAGTTCATTTCATTTTGTAACGGGACGTACGGCTAACGCATGCTCGATGCACACTTAAACTACACTAGCCGAATGATGGTTTTGTAGCGGCGTCAAGTAAGGAGATATAATTCGAAGTGTTGTGTCGAATATTCTATGTGAATCGGGTTTATTTTGCAGTGAGTGTTTCGGTGCTTCGCGGTATTTTTTTAAAATTATGATTTTACGCGTGAAGTGTTCTTAACTGAAAACCAGTGCACTAATGCCTATGAACCGCCGCATTTATCATGTAGGATCAGAGTGTGTAAATAAAATTCCATAATCAAATAATACTGCATGTAGGTTACACTCCAATCAAATACATTTATTCCTTATTTTTAAAATGTATGCTAAAGGAAAAGGATCATCAGTGCCGTCCGATGCACAAGCCCGAGAAAAGTAAGTACTTAAATTTTTCATTTAAAATAGGATGCGCTTTATTTGTATTGTTTACCAACTCGTTTTTGAGTCTCCAACACAATAATTAATTTCATCCCACTTTGTTCTGTTCATCTAGATCTATCGTATCAACTATATCGCTAATTTAATTGCTTTTCACAGATAAACTCGAGGGCAATTTTGAGCGATTATTGAAACCGCATAATAATAAATCAGGACATAAAGCTTGAAAATTAAATGTAACAATTGAAAATTGTCAGTAGTAAGAATCTTAGCTGATCATTGATTGTTTACATTAGAGTATTTAATATCCTTGGTAGCGACCACCCACATCCACATTAAACAATTTTATGGATAGTGCAATGTGCTCCGAGTCCTATTTCCTCGCCTTTTTCTATTTTTAATTGGAAAATTTTACCTGCAGGTTGGCTTTATACGTTTATGAATATTTGCTACACGTCGGAGCACAAAAAGCTGCCCAGACATTTCTTTCCGAGGTAAGGACACCCTCCCAAATAAAAGAAGAAAAAAACATTTATTTGTGTTACGATTTTTTTTAGATCCGATGGGAAAAGAACATAACATTAGGCGAACCTCCAGGATTTTTACATTCTTGGTGGTGGTAGGTTGATCTCATAAAATAAAGTGTGTTTAGATTAACGGGAAATTTTTTTAGTGTGTTTTGGGATTTATATTGTGCAGCCCCTGAAAGAAGGGACACTTGCGAACATTCTTCCGAAGCAAAAGCTTTCCACGATTACGTGAGTATCAAATCCACGCTCCTCGTAGTTTCAGCGATCAATACTTGGTTAAAGATATGGCAACGTCGCGCGAATATACGCGTTTGACCAGGTGTAGTCGTCCAATTCGGTATTCCTTTATGGCTACATTTAATTTTACTTATCATTTTGTTCAAAAACCTACCCCCTTTTTGACTAACAAACACGTGTATCATGTATTGGCGAAAATGTTATCATTGCATTTGTTCACTTGGGGGGTACTGGCTTTGATAACCTTGCTATTTTGGTTTCGATGATAAGTATTTGTTTGGCTGACATTGTTACAGACTAACTTGAGGACCTTGAGTTTTTTTATCTACTCACCAGCTCGAAACAGCCATATAGTGGTTTTGAAATATTCAGGTGACTGAATTTCTGTGGTAAAATTTCGAACTCGAGAATTTCTAGTTTATTTTACACAATCGTACCTATCATAATCTTATTACCGAATCGGTTTATCAACATCTACGGGGTTGCATCAAAAAATAAGAATACCTACCTATTTATACTAAAAGTCGTGATGCACCAAATTAAAAGGGGAAGTCGTTTCCAACAAAAAAAATTCTTGGTATAGTTGGTTAAGTAAAAAAACTTCCCTCACTTTGACCAGTAAAAGTTTATTCTTTCACTCATGTATATTATTTTCCCATAAGAGAAGTGAAATTATCAAGTGTAAATTCACTGTTGTTTAGGCAACGTGAAATTATCACCTACATAGTCAATTAACTTGACAACACAGAAAAATAAAATTTCTACATATATTTTCCAGATATTTGTTGTCCAATAAATTTTTTTTTTTTAAATAAGTAAATTTAGGTAGTTTGAATTTTAATAAATTTTGTTAAGTTTGTTATACTATACTCCTGGACAAAATTATCGCACCACCACTGCACATAAGCACCATAAGCAGTGGTGCGATAATTTTGTCCAGGAGTATATATGCTCGACTATACAGGGTGTCCCAAAAAGATACCGACAAACTTTAAGGGGTAGTAGGGGACATCAAAACAAGCATTTTTGTTTATATAAACATATGTCCGCAAAAGAGCCATTTAGGCTGTAGAGCAAAAAAACTGTTTGATACTTTTATTCTTCGCAATAATTAAATCACTGTTTACTTATTAATTTTGCTTTATTATCAAATAAATTATGCTTTAGAATAATTGTTCAAAATGTTGACCATTTACTTCAATTCAAAGATTACACCGTCGCGTAATTGACTGAAAAGTTTAGTCTACGAAACACCTGTTCGTAATGAGGAAGATCTGATAGCAAGGAAACTGGCGAGCTGTACCCATGTAGAAGCTATTCCCGGAATATTCCGAAGAGTTCGCGAGTTGAACAATTATTGTAAACCATAATTTATTTGCTATTAAACCAAAATTAATAAGTAAACAGTGATTTAATTATTGCGAAGAATAAAACTAGACACCAAACAGTTTTTTTGCTCTACAGCCCAAATGGCTCATTTGCGGACATATGTTTATATAAACAAAAATGCTTGTTTTGATGTCCCCTACTACCCCTTAAAGTTTGTCGGTATCTTTTTGGGACACCCTGTATGTATACTTACCTATTATTTGCATCAACAAATTTGAATTTTATTTTACAATTTTTATGAAATTCAAGGAATATTCTTCCTAAATACCATTCGTGTTTAAAAATTAACCAGATAATTTTTAAGCACTTGTAGTATTACCCCCAAAAATTAAAAATTTTGACACTACTCAATAACTCTTCCTCGTTCAAATGAACAGGTGAGTAGTGTAGTAGAAAAGGAAACTCTATTGCACCAATAGACCTCTTGAATAGATTTTTATTTTTACCTGAAAATTTCTCAACTACCTTCGAAAATATAATAAATAGCTCTCTGCAATATTTTTTTTCCAAGAGATTTTCTAATTAGTTACCTAACAATTTATCGGTTTGCCTGCGCCATTTAAATTTGACGTCACACGAAAACGCTACCCTATTAGTTGTGACGTCACGAGATACAAACGCGTCAGCCCCTGACATTTATATTGCTCTCTGTCCATATTTATTTAACATTTTCATTTTTTACTGTGATAAAGTCTACTTTATTGCCTTTTTTTGGAGATGTAAATGCTCATAGGTGAAATGTAAAATTTTGTAATGTAAAGTATCACTTTCCGCATTTGTTAGGTAAATAATTAGCACTAACTGGATAGTAAATTTGTAGTAATAAAACTTAAGATGGTTTTTTAGTTATCTCATTGAAAGTCTTTTCAGAATATGTAAATTGTTGTTCTTTTACAACCGGGTGCCATACATATTCAAATTAACTCTGAAAACATAAACAGAGAAAATGCCCATGCTCGCAAAACACAATTTATTGTCGGCACGGTCGTCGTGCATTAAAAATGAGTCGTAAAATTTACAAGCACATGTTGACACTTATCACTAGTCAAGTCATTAGAAATAAGGACCATAAAGCAGCCTTGGAAATTGCATTCTCATGGATAGTGCATTGTCCTTTAAATTTCAAAAAAAAACACTCACCCATAATATCCTTTTTTTTCTGGGATTTCATAATTTTAACTTCTTGACATCTTTTGAGTCATATGGGAAATCTTTATTTCCAAATTCCAAAATCTCAGCAATGGTATCAGGTTCGACATTGTTCATTTCACTATCAGCAACATCAAAAGGCCTCCAGAGAAGCATTTTAATCAAAAACTCACTCACAATAAACAAGTGAAAACACAAAAACAACATCATACCTAAGCAGTATAAACTGAATGAAAAGTATATGTAACACTATCAACTTATTTAGTCTACCTAAGCTACCACCTGCACTCAGATGACTTAGGCCTTATCTTCACTAATTCTAGATCTCATTCAATGCACAGATTGTTTTGCCGAGTGTTTTGCAGTTGGCCAGACATTGCAGAAAGTTATTTTGATTTGAGTGTTCCGTATTTCCTAGGGTCAACAATGGTTTTTTTTTATAGGGACTTTCCAATTATTTATTTATCAGGGACTTACTAGTCAATTTAGCAGACCTACTATGAGATTTTTATTTTAGGTGATTCATTTGATACCAGTTCCATATAGTAGGTACCTGTAGTTACAGTTAATTGTTCAAAAGAATTAAAGTAAAGTGAAATAGATTTATCAATTTTTTTCAATTTGAGACATGATTAGTACAATAATTAATAATTTACAAAAATGTAAACTATAGGTACCTACATAGTTTTTCTTTGAAAATTTGGATTTAATTTATTTATTTTATTTATTTACGGCAAGGCAAATTTACAATATTATTAATAAAAAAACCATCTACAATAAATAGTACATATTACAACATACTTGAACCTAAGCACATAACCAATAACATCCTGATGATTTCACTAAGTTAATAACTTTTCAATTGCTATGAATTCCAAAAAACAGATACTCTTATTTCAAGAACTACCCATCAAGCAACAATAGCAATCTCCTTTTTAGAGGCAACAACAGAAGAACTACCAAAGATGTCAATACTGCGGCTCCTTGAGTTGGCAAACCTGAGCACCCTTGAGATCGACTCATTCATACCATAATTAGTATTACGGAATGGTACATAAAACACGTCAGAACCCCTCACCCTTCTTTCTCCTGCTCTCAAAGAAACGATACCTAAAAGATCTGGGCAGTCAATTAACCCTCTTAAAAGTATGTAAAGCAAAGAAAGATCCGCCTGATGTCTCCTGCTTTGCAAAATATGAATACTCAAGAAAGCCCTCATCTCGTCGTAAGTAAATATATACTCATCATGCGCCAAGCCCAACCTGAAAGCAGCCAGCCTTAGCCTATTGTGAGCCCTTTCCAGAACTGCAATGTGAACAGCATAATGGGGTGACCAAACAACCGATGAGTATTCCAACATGGATCGCACCATTGCACAGTACAATGTTCACAATGTACTCACAGACATATCAGTAGTGGACCTACATATAAAGCCTAAACATCTAACAGCCCTTGACACAGTATTGGTAATATGGCCATTAAATGACATCTTGGAGTCAAATTCCACTCCCAAAACTTGAATGCTAGCTACTTCCCTGATTGATGTGTTATTAATTGTGTAAGGGAATTTCACTGATTCGGTAACCTGGAAAAAGTTATTTTATAACATTTGGCAATATTAAGGTCCATTTCGTTTGAGCCACACCATCTAACAAAAGAATCAATATCATCCTGCAGCATTTGTGAGTCTTCCAACGATGATACCTGATGATAAAGTTTAAGATCATCTGCAAATGACAGAAATGAGCTGTGTGCAATGGAACTACCCACATCGGATATGAAAAAATTGAACAGGATCAGCCCACAGTGAGACCCCTGGGGTAGGCGGCCAGAAGGAACATCAAAGACGTGAGACACACCGCCATACCTAACTGCCTGAGTTCTCCCAACAAGAAAGTCAGCGAACTCAGAATTGAACCTCTCACCCCCAAACCAAGCGTACTAATGAGCAGGCGATAGTTAACCCTGTCTAAGGCTTTAGAGAAGTCCGAGTATACAGAATCAACCTAAAACCCCTCTCCATGCTGTTCAAAATTAAATTCTGATATAAAATTAAATTTGTTGATGTCGACCTACCCACCGTAAATTCATGCCGTTCCAGATTTAAAAGGTACCTACATTCCCAGCTAAGTCTCCTGGTAATGAGACAATTCAGCAACTTAGGAATCTCAGATTGCGTGCAAACAGGCCTGTAATTTGTGACCTCTTCTCTCGATCCACTTTTAAATATTGGTTTCAAAAAGCTGAACTTCCACAAAACCGGGTAGGAACCTTTTGACAATGAATGGTTGAAGAGATTTGCCAGGGGCGTCGCGAAAGTATACAGGCATTTCTTTATGAAGAGCAAGGGAATTCCATCCGGCCCACATGACAACTTATCAGGTGAATTTTTCACTTGTTCAATAATATTCCAGAGCCTGATCAGTGGTACGGTTCGAGAAAACACTGGAAAA